AAGGCAAAAGTGATTTGGCCCTCATGGGAAAAAAGTTTGGGGAGCCCTGCTTCCGTTTTCCTTTTGATGGCCCTTTTCCCCCCCATCTTGGAATGTGTTTTCGTGTGGCAACCAAAATGTTGCCTCGCGACATCACGACCAATTGCTCAGGCACTAGATTTGACTTTAAAATGTCTCTGGCATGCACTATTTTTTTTGTTTTTCTAGTCATTGCTCAACCTTCACCAGCACGCTCGCCCACGTGGACGAGGCAGCGAAAACGAAAAGGAGACCGTTGCTCGTCATCTTGGCTTGCGCGTCTGCTTCAAATTTGGTTCAAGTTTGAAGGAACCCTGGCAGCAACGCTGGCAAGGACCCAAAAAGGCCATGTTGGAGTATGGCTTCTCACGATGGAGCCGTCTACCAAATTTCGGGCTCCTCGGCGGAACTGGGGCTACATTTTCAAGGATTGGCCTTTCGTATTTCAGAACCAAAAAAACGTCCGCTTTGAACGCAAATGTCAGACTTGCTTGGGCATGAACTGCGACACATTGTAGGCAAACGTTTATTGACATGAGGAAGCGCTTTCAAAACTTTGGACCGTGGCGTTATCTCACGGGCACGAGCGCAAGCGAGACCGCAGACGCCGGACAGAGCCACGACCGCGGGAAAGAAAGTCTTCTTTGCAGAGACGTTGACACGGAGGGAAGCCCTGCCGAGCGATTGACAAATTGCATCGGATCAGGGAGGACGTCGCCGGAGCGTCTTCGTCAGATGGCCGCTCGCACAAAATCGCAATAAGTTAGAAAATCTCCTGCGGATTTCTCAGGGGCCAAAAACTGCCCGCTTCAAAGTCGACGGAGGACGAGCTCGTTTGGCCTCGCTTCGAGATCTTTCTTTTTGCTTACGTGGTCGTCGCGTCGCATTCACGCGCCAGAATCGGAGCTTGGAAAGCTCCCGACCGCCCCCCTTGCGAATTGGGGGCGCGACGCCATTTCCGCTTCAATGAAACGCTCGACTCATGGCGGGTCTGTTCAAAATGGCCTCCACCGAGAAGGACAGGGACTCGCCGGCGGCCATCTTGGCCCCTCCCGGCTCGGACAGCAAGTCCTCGGCGCGCCCGTCGGCCGTTTTGCCGGCCCGCGCGTCCCGGCCGGAGCTTTCCCGGAGCTTGCGCGCCGCCTCCTGCAGGAGCTCCTTACAGTACGGCGCCGCCCCGCCCCCGCCGTCGCCCAGCGAGTGCTGGAGGAGCGAGCGGAAGCCGGAGTCGACGTCGAGCGAGAGCTTGGCCGGGAAGGCGTGTCCGAAGCGCCTCTTTGGCGGGTAGAAAGCGGAGTTCTCCCTCGCGCCGGCGGACGTGGGCGTCGCCCTCAGCGGGTCCCGCGACGAGGCGGCGGCTCGCGAGATTGTAGGCGTTGTAGTCGACGGCGCGGCGCGCCGCCCGGTTGGCGAAGAGCAGCGGCGACGCCCGGCCGCTCTCCAGAAGCTCGCGCTCCTTGTACTCGCGCTCCAGCATGATGCTCTCCAGCTCCTTGTCGGCGAACGCCCGCCTCTTGCGCATGCGGTCGCTCAGCGGCGGGGGCAGCGACGGGCCGGCGGCCAGGAAGGGATCGGACGGCAACGGGCGGAAACCTGTCGTCGGGGGAAACAGCAAAGGTCAGGGGCCGCGTCGCCGTACAGCGCACGCGTCTAGTACGGGAGCTTCCGAGCAAATCTCCAGATGTTTGTCTTGGAAGGACCCCTGCAAAAACCCGATCGCAAAGGAGCAAAGGGCGGCTGCTCGGACCGGCCTCATCTGGGAGGGGGCGGGGTTGGCGCATTTTGCCGAAAACGGCGGAGCCGTGACGGGGCGCTCCCCCTGAGCGACTTGGAGGTCACGTTCAGTCGACGGCAAGCGGCAAAATGGCCGCCGGCTGAGATGGCCAAACGCGGCCGGCCGCCCGACTCATATTCCACAAACGCAACATGAGTGCGAATGGCGCGTTTCGACGGGCGGAGCAGATTCCTGTCAAGACCTGACTTCCCCTTGAAAGCCCCAAAGACCGGCACCGTCGTTGCCAGGTTTTTTTTTTTTTGGGGGGTTTACCTTCCAGGATGCTTTTGGCCAGCAGAGTTGATGGACGAACATGTCTCTGATAGATGGGCCTCCTCTCGGCCGCAACTTGTTTCCCAGACAGGCCTTTCTTGTCCTGAAAAAAAAAGACATGAGGTCACGCGCAAAGAAAACGCCGTCGTCTCAGATCAAGTCCGAACCGCCGTCCGCGTCTTCGTCTCGCAAACAATCGAGCGGACGCGTTTCGTTCACCGATTCTGAGGGCACATCGATCCAAACGAAATAGGACATCGACATCTTTCATGTCTGAAATAGTCGGCCGTGTCAAAGTCGAATTGGAAATCGAGTGGCCATGTTGGAAAATGGACTCGTCAGAACATTTGGTCGGATTAAAACTGATTTTTCTTCACGCTTATTAAATCACGTCAAACTCATTTCAATTGAAAATGTCAACTCATTTTGCATTGCTAAATGAAAAAAAAAAAAAACCTACATTATATTTCAACTGTTTCGCACCCCCCGCAAAGGGAAAAAAAAGAAAATGAAGCTAAAAAAAACTCAAATGGAGAATAATTTCATGAATGAAAAAAAAAAACCCCACAATGGGTCGAAATTTGAGCAGGAGAAGGTCATCAACGAGAAGACGTTCTCGACATTGTTGCAGTCGACGAGTTTGAAGAAAAGAAAAAAGGTCAAATCAATGGGGGGGGATTTTCGAAACCGGCCCACAAAATGAAGCCATACAGTGGAAGTAAATACACGCATCGCATCGCTCACTTTTGAACGTTTCTTTCGAGTGGAGCGAGCAGCGGTGCTGCTGTTTGACTTTTCGGCCCGTTTTGCAAACGCCGAGTGCAGACGGGCGACTTTGCACTCGGCGGAGAAAGCGCGTCGGAGCGTTTTGGCCCGCTCAACGGCTCCGAAGCGAGTCGGGTCGCCGTTCGCGCGTCGCGTCGCGTCGCGTCGCTCGGCGTCGGGCGGCCCTCTCACCTCGGTGGCCTGCTGGCGACGCAGCGCCACCTGCGCGGCCATGACCCGCTGCCGCTCCACCACCAGCAGGCAGTTGGCGCACTGGCAGTCCCTCCAGCGGCAGAAGCGCTTGTGGCCCTTGAGGCACGACACCACGCCGTGGTTGCGGCACCGCGCGCACTTGGGCGTGCGGCTCAGCTTGCGCCGCTGCTCGCCGGGGCTCAGGCCTCCGGGGAGGCCCGGCCGGGCGGCGTCCACGGCGGCGGCGGCGGCGCGGGCCTCCCCGCCGCCGTCGCCGTTGTCTTCCTCGTCGTCGTCGTCGTCGTCGCCCTCCTCCTCCGCTCGCTCGTCGGCCTCCGCCTCCACGCTCTCCACGTCGATCTCGAACTCGCAACCCTCGGTCATGTCGGCGAGCGCCCTGAGCGTCAAAAAACACGCAAGTTGCTTTTTAGGTGCCGCGTCTCACTGCGTCGAGCGTCGCCCGCACGCATGACCGCCAACTGTACTCGTCGCGTTTTCCATTGGAAGTTCAAATCTGGACGCTCGATGGCCGACACGTTTATTTCGTCTGAAGTCGTATTCTGCGCTTTTTGAAATTTTGAAACGGACCTACTGCAACCAGGTCAGGGTCAAATTGATATTTTTTTCCCCTTTCCATTCAGTTTCACGCCCCCCACCACCCAAAAAAAAAAAAAAAACGAAACGAAAGGAAATTCAATATAGGTCCGAGGCGGCCTATTTTCACGGCCTTATTTGAGTCGGATAGAGAGATGGCGAGATCCCACGACAGCATTTTTCTGTCTGCCGTGTTGACAAAATATGCACGTGCGGCAGCAAGAGATCGTCTTTCATTTCATTCAACACTTTGAAAAAATCCCCAGCGTATTTCTGAAGCCACGAATTATGATGAACACTACATGAATTCCCCCAAAATAATTCTGTCAAAAATACAGCATTCTAAACCAGACTGGACTTGAAAAGTTGTTTAAAATGTTCTTTAAAAAAAAAATAATAATAAATCCAGACTGTCGGAACGGATAATTGAACAGACATGTTTCTAAACGTACAGGTTTCGAATCCAGACGATATGACTAAACAATCTAAAAGAACAAGACCTGTCAAGTGCAGAAAGTGTTCATGGGAAACCCGAAAAGAAAAACTTCCAAGATAGACGAAGCCGCGTCCTCAGTTCTTCAAAAACAAGTGGCGCGCACGCATGTGACACACAGAACGAAGACTAAACGTTTACCTCCTCTCCAAGCGTTCTCAAGCCCGCTGGAAAGTTGCGAGCGCCCAATTAGCGGTGAACGGACACCGTGCGAGCGTGCGCCTTCGCGAGCCTGCCGAGCGGAGTTGGCCGTCGCCTCGCCGGCTCCCGGCGACTCCCCTCCCGAGGCCGCGCCCACACCGCGCCGATTGGCCGCCGTCCGAAGCAAATTCAAACAAAGCGACCAATGGGGAGGCGCCGAGCTTCCGGAGCGGTCGAATCCGCCCGGTGACGCTCGACGAAAGTTGACGTTGACAATTTAACAGCCGTCAAGTTGTCGTTTGAAGTCGAACAAGTGGAAAAGGGCCTTTTGTGCGGCGCCGTTGTATATTGACGTCTGGCGTTGATCGAGCTAGGCTAGTTAGCTCATCTCTTCGAGAAGCGTCTTCTTTGGATGTCATCTTAAAATGTCTCCGAGCAACACGTTTGCGAGGGAGCGGGCTCTCTCTTTGCCTCTCAGTCGTCGGTTAGCCGAGGCGCACTGCAACTTTGTGGTGACCTCGCAAAACCCCGCGGGTCAATTGGGGGGGACACCCACTGAGCGACACTTCCAATGGCCGACTGAGAATTCACCAAGAGCAGTCCTCCGAAGACGTGCCCTCGTCTATGGTGTGATGACGTCAGGAGCCATCCAAACAATTCGGTCTGAGAGGAGGACATCAGTAGTGCCATCCAACTGGCTGCCGAGCGTGGAAAAGCAGCCTGAGATGCTGAAGCAACATGTGTGTATCTGTCTTATTGTTATTTCATTCCATTTATATATCTATATATAGACATATATATCGAGATATAGATAGAGAGAGAGAGAGAGAGTGTGTGTGTGTGTGTGTGTGTGTGTGTAGACAGTATATACAGTATCAGTGGTTCTTAACCTGGGTTTGGTTCGACCGAATTGGTCTCAGGGGTTCGATGGAGCCTCTGCCATGGAGGTTGAGACACACCCGACTCAACATGTCAACGACTTCTGACACGCCCGCTTGGCCATCACTGGCTGGTTCATTTTGTGCACAATTTTAAAAAAAATATCATTATGTCTTTTTTCTGTTCATAAATGCGTTTTTTTTTTACGTCTTGAATTTGTAAAAAAAAAAAAATCATATTTTTATTTTTCAAAAATGAAGGGTTCAGTCAATGTGCATATTAGAATCCGAATCATCTTTACTGGCCAAGTATGTCCAACACACAAGGAATTTGTCTCCGGTAGTACACGCTGCACGACTATCATCATATCAACTGGTTGGTTGGGTTCGGGACCTCGAACAAACTTAAGAACCACTGGCATTTATGAAATGAAATAACACGTGTTGCTTTAGCATCTAAGTTTGCTTTTACACACACACACACACACACTTTTCTTGGTTTGACAGTTTATTTTCCGTCACTATTTCAGTTGCATTTCTGAGTAACGTTGTTTGTTTTGTTTGTATCATGTCTTTTTGCTGTTTTTTTTTCTTCTTCCTTTCAAGAGGTCGTTCCAACCCCCTGCAGTCAGGGTCGAACATAGATGCCAGAGTTGGATGAGTCAAAAGTGGGGCGCTACCAGCATTTGGCTTTCTAAACGCTCGCCGGTCCTCGCAACTGAACAGAGACGCACGACACCATACCGGGTGCCCAGAGTTGGCGCTCCCGAATCCACAAAGGACGGGCCACGGCGACGCTCCTCGAACTCGGCCCGAATGAGCCGACCGAAGCTATGAACGAATCCGAGGTGTGCGGCCAAAGGACCCTTCCACAAAGCACGACGTAAAGAGGGCGGTCTGGGCGGTCCGGGGACCGAGGAAACGGGAGCGCCTTGTACAAGTCTGCCGATGTCAGCGAAACCGTCTTGTTGTTTTCTGTACTCGGCTCGTCTTTTCTTGTCATCTTTGGCGTCGACGCGCTTTCTTTGCATGCGCTTCCGTCGGGCTGAAGGCGCACACCCGTCATGGAGTCGCATCGTACGTTTGCGGCGTGGACTCGGCGTACACTTGCACTCGACTCACCGCCGCTGGAAGAAGCGGAAGTGTGCTGCCTGCCTGCGGTTCTCCGGGACCCTAACTCTTCCTCCATGTGTGGACGAAGGGGGGGGGGGGGGTTGAAGACCTGCAGGTGCAGCCTGACTCTCCACTTGGTCTCTTAATTTACGACGGGGGTTATGAGCGGCCCCCCCACGCCGCAGTTTCCTGGCCAGGAATGCTTTGATCCGACGGGCGCGGGCCCCCGCTCGGGTCGGAGGGATGCGCTCATCACCGGGCTCCGGCCGCCTCGCCAGGTGTAACGCGTTCTCTGTGGCTCATTAAGGGACCCCCGGGATGAGACTTGGAAGGAATTCCTGCCACCCTCTTTGGGAAAGCAAAAAGACAAGTTGCACCGGGAAATGCGGGACAGCCTGTCGACCTTCAAGGTCTTCCAGAGGTCTTTGTGGAGAGGCTCCATTTCTTTGAGAGGGGGAGTCCTGGCTTCTCCATAACCCCCCCCCCCCCCCAATCCCCCCGTGAGGGCAAAGCCAAGGCTTGAGCGTTTTTATGAGGGAACCTGCTACCAATGCGTAGGCCCCTGCCGCACGTTTTCCAGCTGCGGGCCCGGATCACGATCTGGGAACGCGGGACCCAATAAAAACTGACCCCGGACGCATTCGAGGTCTTCCCTCGCCTTCGGAGAAACGCGATCAAGAGCCCGGTCGCCGCGGCCAACGGTGACTTTTTAAGGTTCCCCCAACTGAAGGCTTCGGAGACTGTCCACGCTGTTTTTCTGTCATCTGAGGGGGTTCTTGGGACACATTCCTGAAGCGATTCCGCCCCCTTGTTTTTGAAGACGAGCAGGGGTGATTTGAAATCGGTGTTGGGAAGGACCAAGCGCTTGCTTCTCAACGGCTTTCACTGCTTCGTGATGTACTTCCAAGTCCTTCCAAAAGGGGGCGGCAGAACTCAGTGGTCGAGTCGTCCTCTCCCAACCCACAGGGTGCGGGTTCAATTCAATCCCTGGCCATTGCGACCTTGTCAAAGTGTCCTTGTGTAAGATACTGTGCCCCCCCCCCCCCAATTCCCCGGTTGCTCCTGAGGCGGCGTCATCAGTCGGAAAACGAGGAAACAAACACTCCGGCCCGCTTGTTTGGGATTCGCGATTGAAACGTCGAGTTTAGGAAAAAAACGCTCCGGAGTTGTTTGACGGCGTTCTCGATCACGCCGTGTGGGCGTTGGAGCCCCCTTTGGCAGCTCGGGAGAAGCGCCCACGTCGAAGCGCCAGACGTCGTCCCACTCCGGCTAGGAAACGCGACGGACCGGCGCCGACCAAGCGGAGGCGTGGCGCGCATTGGACGCGTGCTGAGTCGACGTTTGGCCGCCAGATGGCGCCATCGGTCTTCTTATTCAAGCGTTGGCGTCAAAGTCAGGTCGTGGAGGGCGGCCTTCCCGCATGCTTTCCGAGTCGTCTCCCCGTTGCAACGCACCTGATTCAAATGAACAGATCATCTGCAAGCTGTGCGGACGCCTGACATTGAACCTGCTCTTATTGGAACGAAACGACTCCGGTCGTGCTGACCTCACCGTCTTCCAGCCTTGTTGTCCCGTCAGCCTTCTTGACGAGTTGTTGCATGATCGCTAACATGAAGGGGAACCGAGTCCGAGACGTTTGTACGTGACCCGATGCTGTTGACGGCAATCTTGAAGCCCTCATTTGTTTGTTGGGCTTTTGTTTTGGAATTGGCCCTCGAGGGGGCGCGTCGGCAACGTGCTGGTGTCGTGCACGGCGTGAACGATTGTTTTGGCAACTATGTGAGCGCTTTCGATCGCCACCGTGCCTCGAACGCTCGCTCATTTCATATGATTAGCGATGGCCAACGAGGTAGCCAGTCGTTGATCTCGGCATTAGATGGGCGTTAGCGACTAAATGATGGAGGGCCCCTCCAGCAAGTTTTGATCAGCCCGACTTGTACCTTCCAACAAAATGTAAGACCAAAATGCCACTTTAATTCTGTGTGTGTGTGTGTTCTTTTACTGCACCAGGAACAGAAGAGACTGTGAATCCAGTTTCATGCTCCGCTGCCTATCGGTGAGGATCCACTCCTCAGCTCCACAAGCTTCGATGCGACCCAAGAGCGAAAAATTCCCCAATTGTCAGGTTGGCTCATTCACACGCCGCAGTGTCGGGCAGTGAAGCCGGCCCTCTGATGAATCATCCGCATTTGGGGCACCATGAAACGTCGACCGCATCCGTGTGTTTGCAGGCCACCCTTTGAGGAACTCGTCACGCGGCTCCAACCGACCGTCAACGCTTCTTTTTGAAAACGTGCTCTTTTTGTTTACTTTGGCGGGCACTTGGGTTGAAATTGTTTCCGTCTGATGTCGGCCTTGAGCTTGGATGCGGGCGGGCTTGTCTGCCAACTAGCGGTGAACACTGTTATTACAATTTAAAACCGCCCCGCCACAGAAAACGTCTTGATTTAGTGTTTGAGAGTGCTGATGTTTGAATCCAGCCCCCCCCCCCCCTTGAAATGTTGAGAGGCGACTTGTGACACTGACCGAGGCGATTTCTCTTTGCGTCATTCCCGTTTGAGTGCACCAAAGTGGTCGCGGCAGGGCAGCCGTGCAACATTCGCTGCAGTTTCCATTGCCGCCGTTTCTCGTTTATTAGTCACACTCAACACATGCTCACAATCATGACGACATGCTGACAGGAAGGAGACGTAGACGTGCGCGCGTTCACATCAGCGTTTGTCCAGGTCCGGTCCGCACGAAGCCCAAAGCGTTCTAGCCGGACGAGTTCAAGATCCGCGAGTCGGCCGAATCCGAGCGTTCCTCGTAGTCGTCGTCGGGCGAGTACGGGCCCCCCTTGGGCCCGCGGCCGTCCCCGTCCCGGTTGTCGCCGCGGGGCTCCTCGGTGACTCTGGGGTGGTGCTGGTGCAGGAGCGAGGCCCCCCGGAAGGCCGACCCCCCGGGGGCGGCGGCCGGACCGAAGGGCGACGCGTACTGGGCGGCGGCGGCGGCCGAGCGGAGCTGGTACTGCTGCTGCAGGGCCACCGTGTTCCACAGCGTCACGTCGTTGGGCACCAGGGCGCCGGCCGCCCCCCGGCTCAGGGAGTTGCGCAGCACCAGCGGGTAGCGCGGGTGCTGCAGGGGGACCCCCAGGACGCCCAGCGAGGGCGACTCGGACGCGAAGCGCAGCGAATCCGGCACCCTGAAGGCCGAGCCCGCCGACCACTTGGCGGAGGACGCCGCCGGCCGGTAGGGGCCCGGGCCGTGCTCCAGAGCGTGCGGCGGAAGCGGCAGGGGGTCGGGGCGCGAGTCCGGGTGCGGCTGCGGCTGCGCGCCTCCCTCCGGGCCCCGGCTGGACAGCAGCGCCTCGATGGCGCCCACCAGGTCGCCCCCGCAGCCCCGCAGGATGAGCTCCAGGACGGGCGCCTGGTGGCCCGGGAAGATCTTCTTGAGGACCTCCAGCGGGGGTCGCTTGGCCCTGAGGCCGAAGGGCGGGGGGTCGACGGGGCCGGCCGGACCCTCGATGGCCGGCCCCGGACCGGCGGGGCTCCTCCGGGGGCTCTCGGCGGCCGGGGCCTCCTCCTCCCGCGGCTCCGGGGTGCGGCGGGAGTTTGCTTTGGAG